CGGTGATCCGGCTTCTATGAACGCCGGGTTTTATCTTGCGTCTGGGAAGTTTTGCGGTGACGCGGCTTCTGTGAACGCTTCGCGGAGGCCGCACCCGCTTCTGGGAAGTTTTCCGATGACGCAGTGCTTCTCCACCCGCTTTTATAGGTTGGCTCCCGTTCGGTTGTGGACATATTATTTACAACGGGTCTTATCTTGCGTTTGGGGAGCTTTCCGGTGACCCGGCTTGTACGAACGCTTCGCGGGGGGAGGCGCTGCGCCCCCCTGCACCCCCCCACTCGCTTTTTTAGGTTGGCTCCGGCTAGGCTGTGGACATGTTATTTAGCGGGTGTTATCTTGCGTCTGGGAAACTTTCCGGTGACCCGGTTTGTGGGAACGCTTCGCGTTTGGGAAGCTATCCGGTGACCCGGCTTGTGTGAACGCTTCGCAAAGGAGGCGCTGCGCCTTCCCCCCTGCAGCCCCCCACCCGCTGTTTTAGGGGTTAGGCTGTGGACAGATTATGTTGCGGATGTTATCTTGCGTCTGGGAAGCTTTCCGGTGACCCTTCGCGGGGGGAGAAGCTTTCCGGTGACGCTTCGCGGGGGGGGGGGGGCTCGCCCTCCCCCCCTGCACCCCCCACCCGCTTTTATAGGTTGGCTCCGGTTGGGCTGTGGACATGTTATTTAGCAGGTTTTCTTTTGCGTCTGGGAAGCTTTCCGGTGACCCGGCTTCTGTGAACGCTTCGCGGGGGGAGGTGCTGCTCCCCCCTGCATCCCCGACCCGCTTTTATAGGTTGGCTCCCGTGAGGTTGTGGACATGCTATCTAGCGGGTGGTATCTTGCGTCTTGGAAGTTTTCCGATGACGCTTCGCGGGGGGAGGCTTCCCCCCTGCACCCCCCACCCGCTTTTTTAGGTTGGCTCCGGTGAGGCTGTGGACAGATTATGTAGCGGGTGTTATCTTGTGTTTTGGAAGCTTTCCAGTGCCGCTTCGCGGGGGCAGAAGCTTTCCGGTGACGCTTCGCGGGGCGAGGCGTTGGACATGTTCGCTCCGGCTAGGCTTCGCAGGGGGAGGCGCTGCGCCCTCCCCCCTGCACCCCCCACCCGCTTTTATAGGTTGGCTCCCGTTAGGCTGTGGACATGTTATCTAGCGAGTGTTATCTTGCGTCTGGGAAGCTTTCCGGTGACCCGGCTTGTGTGAACGCTTCCTTCGCGGTGGGAGACGCTGCGCCCTCCCCCCCTGCACCCTTCAGCTGCGCCCTCCCCCCTGCAACCCCCACCCGCTGTTTTAGGTTGGCCCCGGCTCGGCTGTGGACATGCTATCTAGCGGGTGTTATCTTGCGTCTGAGAAGCTTTCCGGTGACGCTTCGCGGGGTGAGGCGCTGCGCCCCCCCCCACCCGCTTTTTTAGGTTGGCTCCGGTGAGGCTGTGGACATGTTATCTAGCGGGTGTTATCTTGCGTCTTGGTTGGGCTTTGGACATGTAGGCGAAAAAATGTTCAGATGTTGAAAAAAGAGGTTCAGGAACGTTTTGCGGGCATTGGCTCCGCTTGCGTAGGCCAAAAAATGTTTAGAGGTTGAAAAAAGAGGTTGAGGGGTTGCATAAATAGGTTGAGGTGTTGAAAAAATAGGTTAGGGGGTTAAAAAGAGGGCGGGGGGTTGAAAAAATAGGTGGAGGTTGGAAAAATAGGGTCGGGGGGGTTGGAAAAATAGGTGACCCTTTTTTTATTATGTCGGTTATGCAGAAAACCTCTATAGAAGTATTTAATTTTTGCTTAATTTTATCGTTAATGAATGCTTTGATAGTCGAGGCTTGATCGAACGGATGCATAGTTAATGGTAATTGATTATGTAAGTTTTTAATTATTTGCTTTGTTTGTATGTTTTCATTGTTAAATTCGTTTTTTGATAGCTATCGGCCAAGACAAATATATGACTATATATAAATATGAAATGTAGGTTGATGGATAGATTACTTGTGCCGCCAAAATTCCGAGAGCAGATACGGTCTAGCTTATGCCGAACAAACCTTTATAATAAATTGAAGTTCCTTTGAAGACGTTTCTATCGTAGGACGCGAGGCTTTGATTGGATAGTTGATTCGAGAGCATAAGGGCTTGGCTTGCGCATATTGTTATACGATTTATGCGATTGAGGCTATATTTCGATGGTATTATTAAAAAGGCAATTGTCCTATTTTGTTGCTTGAATGGGTTTATAATTAATAGTACGGAGGCTTTAGAGACAGCAGATCGGACCTCTGCAGGTCAACCTTCTATATCCGCATCGGGAAGGATTGTCCGGATGATTAATGCATTGTGCATAGCAGCAGACACGCCAGAATACCCCCATAGACATGATTCAGTCTTTGATCACACCGTCTTTTATGCACATTGATGCCGCCTTGCTTCGGCCTGTTCCTTTTATTGAGTTGGTATTAAGCATTTACCACCTGGATGGCCAATCTATATATATTTTCACCACATTGATTTCGAGGTTATATTATATCTCCGCCTTCTGGATTTTTGCTAGCAGGTATTTCCCTGCCACTGGGCTTGGGACTCAATCGAATAGGCCTTGCTACAACACATTGCAATCGATTTTCATTCAACAACTTGGATTCAGCACTTTCATTTTCAACAACTGCTGTTTGAACTAGAACACGTACTGGCCCAAGACTGGTTCCTCCGGTGTCTAGCACTTGACGTCAGTGATGGAACGTATGAGCGGAGACGATCAATCTTTTGCACACCTGATGGATCTTTGTGGGAGTCACTTTGCAAAGAGGCCTAGAACCGAGGAGGAGGAATAGCCATCCGACCGACGGCCTACACGTAGGGGGCAACGGAAGCCCTCGCGCTCATCGGATTCGGACTTGGGAGACGGTGGAAGCTTGATTTCCGTGATAGCCAGGCTGACCCTGCGCTAGGAGGATTAACTCAACCAGCTTCACCTCGACAAGAGCTTCATTTTCTTCATGCAGGCAGGAAAAGGTAACATATTGCCGCAGATGCTGAAGATTTCCAAGGACTGGCATGGGCAGAGGGAATCAGACCAAATCACGACATCCTTGAGGCAACACATGTTCAGAGCAGTATTCCAGGAATTGGCCTTTCGAGCTTCGAAACTACCCTTCGGATCAAGCGATTACGAATTGATTCGAGCCTTCAGAGCAAACAGATATTGACGGCAACCAACTCCTGGAACATCTTCATTGGGATTCCAAGGAGAAGACTCTGAAGCCTGCAGCCCGCAACCCCCTTCCATCAGAGGAAGCCGCCGCTTTGATCCAGAAGATTCATACTTTGACGGCTCAGGCAGACTTGCTCCACAGGTTCTCAGCCCTGAAACCCATGCCTCAGGATTCGACAATCACGGACTCGGTGGTGGTGCCTTGGCGCCTGGACATCTCATTGAGGGGCCCGACTGCCCAGGACCTGTATGAGTCCCTACAGAAATTGACAGGCAGCGGGCTTACGCAGCTGATCTTCGTTCGAATCCGACCATCGACATTGCAAAGGTCACCATTGGCTCAGGCCATTGCAGCTCGCTTGACGAGATGAGGCAGGCCATCCTGGCCCTTTCCTTGGGCAATGTCAGCAATGCATGCTATATGAATTCGGCCTTGCTAGCCGAGCTATGGGCTTGCTGCATGGATGACACGTTTGCCTGGCCTGAAGTGGGCCCCTGGAAGGAACCGCTGATTCGACTGCTTGCCAACTCCAACACACATCAGATATTGCAAGATGAACATTGTTTGGATCAATTTTTGAAGTCATGGCACACGAGCCATGAAATGGAGAAGCAACAGGACTCTGCTGAGTTCGTTGGAGTGCTTCGCTATGCCATGCATGGGGCTTCAAAGGAAAGCGGAAAACCCGTTTTCAAATGGGAAGCAAGGCTGGAAGCCACCACTGAGGACGTTGATTCTCTTTTTGCACCTGTCCTCCTCCAGCAGACGAAAGATGTCGACTGCACTCTTCAGGACCTAATCAATCTTTGGCATGAACAGGTTCTGTTTCATTGTGATTTTTTTAGACTCAATCACGACCGTTTGCTTGCAAATGAATCGGTTCCCAACCCTAGGAGTCAAGACAGCCCAGCCATTTCGACGGAACAGAGTCACAGTTCATTTGCCATGTTTCATGATCGAGCACAACTGGACAATTCGATGGAAACATTTTGAGATAATTTCTATCGTGGTTCACCGAGGCAATGAACCCCACACTGGCCACTACCAGGCCTGCCTCCGCATTGGCGGGAATAGGTTTTTGACCGATGATTGGAGCAGAGCATTTCGTTGTGCCCACATACCTGATTTGGAACAGGACCTGTACCTCCTTTGGCTTATTGACAGTGACCATCTCACGAGTGCCTGGAAATCTTTGCTCCGTTGCAACCCGTTTGTGCCTTTTCCGACAAGCCAAGTGCTATGATTCGATGCCGCCCGGGGCATTAGATGCGCAAGACGCAGCCGATCTTTGGATCGATGCCCAATACGGGCAGAGCTACTTCTGCCGGAAATGAATAATAGTAATAAATTAATTAAATTGAATATATAGAAGATTATTGAATCTTTATTGAAGAAAAATTATTAAAATTGTTTGAAAAATATATAGTTATTTTTTTAAAAAAGATATTAATGCTATATAATTCTTTATATTATTAATAATTTTTAAAATATGGTTTTGAATGAATTGATAATATTTTTTATTTTACAAGATATATAAGCATCTAATTAATATAAATATAATTTTAATATAAATATTTAAAATATATTATTATATTTAATTAATATATTTATTGAAATAACTATTCTAAATAAACTAATAATTATTGGAAAGAATTATAATATTATATTTTAATACTATATTATTATTAAAGAATATATTATTATTATAAATATATATATAAATAATACATACATATTATATTTAAATTAAATCTAAAATTATCAATTGAAACATATATATTTGCTAAAAATCAAAAAATTGCTAGATTTTTCGGATTAGTCCGCCAGCCTAATTATTGCCTAAGCGGAGCGGTGCAAGGTGGAATATTGTCCAATAAATCGGTCTTGCAATATATTTTTTTAGGAATTATTTTTAGAATCTATTTTAATCCTTGTCGACCATAAATTATTTGAAAGGAGGGAGATGCGAAAGATATGATAACGGGAAGAGAAGAGAATATGAGAGGCAAGAATAAAAATATAATGTTCGACATGATATTTTATCCAACCGGAATCGACCTTTCGTAAATCGTAAATATATATTTATATGCACTCTAAATATTCAAATATATATTCTCGAAATATTTAAAAAGATTCTTAGGAAAATAAATTTGCCCCATAAATCAAATCATCGGTTTGAATCGGAATATTATTTGTTCCCATTATTGCTATTCATCTGCCCAGACTCTATCTCTCATCCCATTCAAAATGATGGATCGCCACACCAGTATGGCTCATCAGCCAGCCTCTTTTTCTCAAAAGGGCCAAGCTCGAAGCTGCTAAATCAGGCGACGGCCTATTGAAAGCCAGCACCCATCGAGGCACACCAGCTGTGCCAATGATGAAACTCATGCAAAAAGTGCGCACTGCCAAATCTATCTTCCACATATCCCATAGGTTAAAGGGGGGGGATCGTGGGATGACAAGATTCCCATTATGACCCTGAGTTCCCTCTTGACTGCTCCTGGGATGACATGAGCCTTCCCATCTAACCACCGGTACACAAACCGGTAGATATGATGCAAGCTGCTAAGGGATGGTCTGGGCAAAGAGAAATAATGCACAATGTGGCCAATCAATATCCTCATGGCTTCGTACGTGATTGACCGCATACGAAGCACATGTTTGATGGCAAGGTACAACCGCCAAGCTCTATTCTTGATGTGGCGAATCTTCAACGTGTTTTGATACAGCACGATTCCAACGTTGACAACTTCAACATTACCCTTGTTAAGTTCATGCAAAACAAAGCCAGCTCGCTCAAGGTTAGCTACGGACTGATCGAAGGAATGGTCGACAACCTTCTCAACAAATCCAAAGACTCCGATGTTGTCAACATACACGCTACTTATGGGGCCACATCTAGGATCCGGTGGGGGCATGCCTTCCTTCACAAACTGCGTGGCTGGAATGGCTTTCGACATGCCATACTCAACAGCTGTGTTACAAAAGTGCAAGGCCCAAACCCACCCCTGCGGCATGCCAAGGAAGACCGGGAACAACATCTCATCTGGGTCAACATCAACTTGACAACCGCTATCCGGGTCCCAAACCGATGTCACCTCAAAGTCTGCTGCTCGCACAGGATCATCCAACCCGAACCAATCCGCAAGCCCTGCCACACTGAATTGGTAAAAGGCATCACTCACATCGCCAGTGTCGCCAAACATCTTGCAAGGAAGCTCAACAGGCCCACCATACCCCTCATTTAACAAGGCCAGGTCATCTTCATCAGCGAATGCATCAACATCTGCAATGGCACTGGCACCTCCTAATTTGGTCTTTGGGGGGCGTTTGTGGCAGGCGTTAGGCATACGTGCATCGACGATCAAACGGATGCCCTTCCGACTGGACTTCCAAACGAAGAAAAGACCAACTTTGGCGCGGATGCGCTTCCTAAACCCAATTAGTGACTTATTACAAAGCTTGCGATAAAGGTCATGTCGGGCCATGCGGTCAGTCCTGAGAGTTTCGTCCCAATATGGATGGAAATCCCCATTGGCAGCGGCCCACTGAGCGATCTCTTCTGCCGAACGAACGATGTGTTGGTCTGGTTCCTCAAGCCAGCTGGCTTCCATGGCAGGCAACAACTGAGTGGCAGGTTTCGGCACAGTCGCAGTTTTCGTGACCTTCAGAAGGTCAGGGTCGTAGGGTGCTACGTTGCATTGGGAGAGCGAGTACATCATATCTTTTGACTTGATCACCTGCTCAAAGCACGACTTTGGTGTCATACCAGCTGGGCAAGATCCAAACTCCTTAACATGATCAGAGAGTTTCTGCAGAACCGATGACTGAAGATTGGACGGCTTGCCGCTAGGTTGATGCCCATCTAAAAGAAAATTCCCTCTTCTGACATGACTAGTTGAAGCTCCACCCAGTGAGTTCAAAGACTTGACAGACTCGGCTGAGTATCACCATCACCAATGCGAGTGAGGAAGGTGGAAGATCGAACCCGCCTCGAACGCCAGGAAGGCACTGGAAGCGGGAAAGTTTCGGAAGCAACTCTCCCACCTTACTTTGAATTCGAAAGCATGCAGAGGCGAGAATTTGATGCGTCGCCCTTACCTTGGCGACAAGACGGCGGACTCATGAAGCTGGGGCGCCACCAGGGGCGCCCGTCTTCTTGTTCTTCTTCTTCTTCTTCTTCTTCCCGCCATCTCCGCCATGATCATCTTCCTCAGAGTCATCCTTCTCGGCCGCACGACCGGCACGTCTGCGATCGGCCGCCTGCTCCTCTCTCCATTCACGAGTGCTCTTGAGAGTCTTGGCCTCAACTTTCTGTTGTTCTGCGACCCACTCTGCATAGCTAAATGCCCTGGCACCACCTACCTCATCAACTGTTCCACGAAGGTTGTAATCGAAGGCATCAAAAGTCGGATGCTTGGGGTTCCTTCGGACAGCAATCTGAATCTCCAAGACTCGGCGCACTGTCTGCTCGATGCACGCCAAGTTGCTGACATCAACCTGGTCATAACTGATGGCAAGGCGAAGGATATTCAGCAAATTCTTGTATTCATGAGAGGCAGCACTGTTGTCAGACAACCCTGACTTACGCATGAAAGAACTGTGGTATGTCATGAGGTCTCCACCGTTCTGGAGCACACTTTCGAGGAATTCCTTTGTCGCCTTCGGCCCTCTATGTGGCCAATCGTCAAACTTCTGATCTGACATGCTCTCCAAAGCCTTTTCCAAAGATATCTGCCTTTTTCCAGAAGCTAGCTTTGAGCATCCTAACAGCCTCAAATCTCCAGCATCACCGCCTGGCAATCCCGGTCGCTTGGCATTGCTCCAACTGTCAAAATCAGAAACAAATTCCAAGCTGAAAATCTGGCCGTCTTTGACATGCAGCCGCTTCCGAAAATCACCAAATTGCAGAAGAACATTCTTGGTAGCATCAGTGAGATCAATTTCAGGCACGATGTCTCCGAAGAGCTTTGAATCAATATCGGCAATTCGCCAATGACCACTGGGCTGAGCCCCAGCAACACCCACAACCCCGGGTCTGTCACTGCAACCTCGTACAAGTGCCAACATATCAGCTTATCTACGCAAATCTGCCATTGACGCCAGCAAATCAGCATTTCGAGGCACATACATCTGACCTGCATAGGCCTGAGGGTAGTCACTGTTCCTACTCAGCGGGATGACTGTGACACCATCGTAATCTTCCTCATAGACATCGAGATCAGGAGTTGAAATGATCCAAACCGAACGATCCACTCGGAATGTCCAATGTCCTGTTCATTCTAGCCATCAGTCCCCCTAAGCAGCCTGGCCCCGTCGAGGCCGAACACTTGAGTTACTTCGCGACCCAGGTGAGTCTGCAATCGGTGCAGGAACTGGTGGCGGAGTCCGACGTGGTCTCCGCACAATGTGAATGGCACGGCCAGTCGCACAACCGGCTAAAAAGATCAGGATAATCAACCAAAGCCAACTGAAATTCCAAGGAATCCGCCCGCTAGGAGTGGTGGATGTTGTGTGCGTGGTGATGGAGGTCTCAACGCAATGGGATAGTACCTCTTTGACCAAGAAGGAGCACGCCTCAACTCCAATGCTAACCCCACAATTGCAATCATACGCGTGGGGAATCTCAGGTCGAACCCAAAGGAGCTGGGAAATGGTATTGGCCAACTGCAGGTACAAAACGCCGAGATCGCCCATCAAATCACACGAGGAACTAATCACGACAAGAACTTGAGCAACAGTTGACCGGGCAGACACTCATGGAAAGAATAACCGAAAAGGAATCAGGAAAAAGGATTTTAATTATACTAAACCATAAGAGGCTCACGAAGACGTTCCCCAGGAGAGAATTAATATGCTTCACAAAACAAATTCTAGGTATATATCCCCTCGGAAAATACCTTTCGTAATTAAAATTTCATATGCATTCTTTCTGAATCTTCAAAAAGATTTCAATTATTCTAAAATCATGAGAGGCTCACGAAGACGTTCTCCAAGAGAGAATTGAATTTAGGGAGGGGGGTCTATATTGTAAAAAATCAATTCCAAGGGGGCGGGGGGGTCTGTATTGAGAAATCAATTCGAGGGCGAAGGGAGGCGATTTGAATTGAATGCTCAATTATTAAACCCGGACGTCCCAACATTTGCTTCGCAAAAAAAACTCAAGATATCCAATAAAAGACTACCTTTCGTAATTTTAAACCCCTTTATTTAGATTTCTATTTTTTAAAATTCAAAATTTACCCGTCCTTAAGCCTTACAATATTAAATATATTCGGTTTTTTAATCCTCCAAATAATTTAACATATATTTATCCGATTTTAAGCCATAAATAATCGATATTAAATTATTTTTAATAATTACCATAAAAAATCTGTCATAAACTATTTTTTACCTCCTCTATCTATTAGATGTTAAAAATAGTACCATAAATTTTCTAATATCAAATAAGATCTATTCGGCCTTATAATATCGAGAACAACGTTTTAATTCCTTAAATATTGTGAAAGCTCAAAAGGCACTCTTTCCGCTCAAAATGCGTAGCGACATCAAATGGCTTAAGGCCTGTAAGGTAAAAAGGCCGCGGGCGAAACACAATCCGGAACAAACCCAAACTCAAGCAATCTTCTTCAGTTGATCCATTTCTTTGTTGATTTTGGGGTTTGGATCTGGCCCGAAAAGCGTCACCAGGACATCGGCGGTCTCGCCGATCATGTCCAACTTGCCACCTCTCACATCCTTCTCCAAGATTCTCCACTCAGCTTGGTGGTCGGTGTCGAATCGAGCATATGTCGTTCGGAGGGGAAATGATTCAGCATTGAATCTCGGAGCCGGACCGCGAAAGGATCTTGCGTTCCTACACACGTGGATTCCGTGTGGGTCTTGAAAGTGCCAGCCGGGTCTCTCAGCGAGCCGCATCAAATGGCTCAACATGGGGTCATCAGCGCTCAGGAGTCGACCGGGGAGAGAAAGTCCCTTTGGAGCAGCAGCCTTCAAAGGCTTTGTGGTTTGCTTGACAAACCGAGGGTTGTATGTAATGCTCCATGTGCCTTGGTGCAGCACTGCTTTGAGATGATTTGACTTCATCTCTTTTGTACCGCAATCTATCAGCATATTTTCGGTCAAAGTCCAGTGGATCTGCGTCTTGTCTTTGCGAAGGACTTCACGCATCCAAGCCACTGTAAAAGCCAATGATTTCTGGCTTCCGTAGGTTGGCATATCTGATGTGTTCTTGTCGTATACATCTTTTGCATCTGTGACCAGCCCCAAAGGAATGAAGCTGTTGTACTGCTCGTCCCCCTTCAAGACACTAAAGCCTTGAACCTCAGCAAGCAATCCTCGGGAGAAGAACCCAATGTCCAGAGATTCCTTTAATCCCAACAATTCGGCGCCGTATGTCGAGCGGCACACCCTTGTGAGTCTGTGACTGCGGGCATCCAACACTCCGAATCGTCCTTGCTTGCCACTCATGAGGTTGCGTTCTGCAACCAACACAAGGTAAGCGGCCTGATTGAACACCTTGGTGTACAATGGACCATCTGCTCCACTGGCTCTCGTGACATTGCCTAATGAAGCATCTGTCACCACCAAAATGCCAGCACCTTGTAGGTCCATCTGACCAAAGCGAAGCTTGAATCCAGCATCCTGTTTCATCAAACGGGCCAGGGCATTCGCTTTGAGCAATGTCTTGACAACTGGAGGTTCGCCTTGCAACACACTAAGGTGGAATCCCATGTCCCACCTCACTTGAGTCACCAACCATTGTAAGCTTCCCAGTATGGCTCTCAACTGGCGATGCTCGGCAGGTGTGAGTGCTGCTTCAAATTGCTTCTTGCGGTGAACAGGGACAGCAATGGGCTGAACGTTCTCATGGAAGGCCTGCATATTGACCTCAATGGTCACGTCAGCATTCTGCTTGATTTGTTTGCCGCAATACGTAAAACAACCTGTCTCCAGCGATCCGAACCCAAGCTCATCACCTAGGGCTCTGAGGGACTTGCCAGCTAGGTCTGTGCCTCCCATCAAAAGGTCGTCGACGTGGCTGACCACAATGCCTTGTAGGGAGCCATCGGCTCCATAAAAGAAACCACTGAGCTGCATCCATGTCACTGCGACGCCATCCCAAGCGAAGAAGTGACTTGTTCAACCGGAGATACCATCGTCTCGGGCTGTCTGCTAATCCAAAAACTCCTTTTCGCACACGGGCTAAGCCGCCAGCACTGAAAGGAAGCATCGGCTCGTCAACAGAGGTGCAACGAATGTTGCAAATGTACAGCTCACGCTCACCTTCTTGGAAATGTTCGCCTTTCAAAAAGGCGGACTTCACATCAGCTGACCACAAACACCACTTGCGAGCTGCTGCAACAATGAACAACATGTGTTGCGAATTGCGAGAACTTGTGGGTGCATCTTTGCGGACACAGTATGTTGTTTCATCTTTATACCCTGGAATGACCACACGTGCATTGGCCAACAAGGGCAACGGGTTGCTGTCTGACCTGAGACCATCGTGCTTGTCGGTATAGATGTACCGAGGTGTGAGGATCTTGTGCAACTGACCGGATGCTCGCAGCTTTGCCTTGATGCGCTCGGACTCCTCATCTGAAAGAATCTCAAAAGCACCATTGTCCACCTGAACTTTCCAACCGGTTTCAGCTGCTTTCCGGTATTTAGCTCGCTCATGCATGGGGATGTCCTTCCATTTCACTTCACGACGAGTTGTCTTGGCTGCATTGACTTCGTGTTCTCCACAAGGCCAAAGGGTGCAACTGATCTCATGTGCCTCCCACGATGTGCGGGTGGGCAAAGGCCACTTGCCTGACCAGCTGCCATGGTCTTGAACTGCAAGGTTGCCATCTGCTTTCTTATCTTTCTCCACTTGCAGTTGTATCGCTCTCAAGGGATGCATGGTGGCATTCTTGAGGATATTTTCAAAAATCTCATATTGCTTTGGCGCTTGCTCAACATCTGGAACGGACTGATTTGCAGTGTCTTTGGCATACCTGGAAACAAGTGCCCGCTTGGTCTTGAGCACATTCTAAATCACTGAGGTGGCCACCAACACTGAATGCTCTTCATCTTCACGCAGCATCTTTTGGGGCTGCTCTGACTCAACCTCCGAAGGCCTCTTCACTCCTGTCTGCTCGTCAAGCTCTCTAGTGGAGTGACCGGCGATGCTTGACTAGCACCTGTGATGAACGGGGGCACAGGCGTGCCAGGTGCAGCATGACTCATCTGTCGCGAGGGCTCGCGACTGGAAGCTTCCATGGAAGATGCTCTTCTGCTCAAACTGCCACTGCCTGGAAGCTCGCTCCCAAAGTGACTCCCTCCTCCTAAAACACCCAGTCCTCCTCCATCCAGGGCTTGAAACAACTCTGTTGGGGGCAACAGGTGGCAAATCATCTTGCTCTGCGTGTTGTTCAGGCACTGTCGGTAAGGGACTTGGATCAACTGCCATTGAAGGCGTCGGAGGTGGTGGAAGGTTTGGGCCAACATCTTCGGAGCTCTGTCGTTTGACATCATGCAATGCCGCTTCAATGCAATCCTGTATTGCATCGTGCCAGACCTCGCAGAAATCTGTTCCATCGACGAGGCGCTCCTCAAATGTTCTCTGGCGCACTTTGAAAGCTGTCCCTTGAAGGACACATATCCAGCATTATGACCTTCTAGGGCCACGAGAAGGGCCGGGCCATGCCATCTCCTCAGGGATAACCTCTTCTTCGAAGGTGCGGTTTTGGAGTTGTACTTGGATTCTCTCCAAAAATAAACAATGTCCCCAGGTTCAAGCGGCTGTGACATGGTGGAGCTCCGGGATCGTGCAAGCTCGGTTCTACGAATGCCTGGGGAGAAATGAAGCCTGGTCATAGCAACTTTGGCTGTTTCTCTCAAAGCAATTTGCCTCGCCAGCGACGGGCGTCCATCTATTAGACCATGTTCAGCAAGCCTCTGCCCAAAATTGCCCAACACATCTCCAATCATCCTGGGTTGTCGGCCAATAGCAGCTTGAGCTGGACTGACTCCCAATTCATTGATGTCTGCATTCTATGCCAGAGTGCACTCTTGTAGAGCCAACTTCATATCTGACAACCCTGCGACTGAGCGGCTTTTGACACAACACTCCAAAAGGCCTTTTAAGATGCCTCCACCTCTCTCGCATACACCATTGCACCAAGGCGCCTGAATGGGAATGTGGTGCAACAGGATGGAGTGGCGATCGCACATCTCCTGAAATGCCCAGGAAATGAATTCGCGGCCTTGGTCGGCCACAATGACCCTTGGAGGTCCAAACACGCTCATCCAACGTTCTTGGAACCAATGAACAATGCTGTCGGAGTCTTTGTATTCCAAAGCTTCTGCCATCTGGAACCTGCTGGTCCAGTCAATGCAATGCACAATGTAAAAACGCTGCTCTGTGATATCTGAACACTCAAAGATGTTTATGTGCACCTGATCCGAAACATCTTTGGGCGTAGGCAACGACGTCGGCCTATGGCTTTTGGGTCGCCTTTTCTCATCACAGAAGCTGCATTTCAACGTTTTGGCCGCCAAGATCACTTCTTTGGGGGCACCAGACAAAACCAAAGCCCTTGCCAAGCGACGGTTTGAACGGTGACCTGTGTTCTCATGCAAGCGTTTGACAGCTTGCCGAACTGCTGAGGAAACTCTGGCTTCGGGTGCACCATCCTCATCAACTGAAGAGATCTCTGACTCTGTGTCGTACGGATCCATGGTTGCACCTCCTTCCTCCTCAGGCTTTTCCTCCTCCGCCCCATCAACAGCCAACACTTCACGACACTTGGCATGGTCGAGGTGGAACTGTTTCTCAAGGCCTCGAACAATAGCTCGAGCAAGTGCAATCGGGTAATGACCAGCTCTGCTTGTGATCTTGGCTCCTCCGAGAACTGGCTGGTGGATGTGGTTCCGACTGCATTGCGTGTGGGTTTGCGGTGAAGAAAACCTGATGCATTCTTGAGCTGGAATGCACACTGATCAAAATCAACACATTCAACAGCTGCTGACTCAAGGAATTGTATGACCTCGGGCAGCGTCCAAGCCATTGAGCATTTGGGGTTCTCCAAAATCAAATGTGCATTCCTCTTCAATTGCAACCGAGCAAGGACCAGGGCAAAATTCAAAAGGACACGACCTTCTTTCCGCCTCTCCTCCAATATTACACTGGGCCTCAACCTTGTCAAAGGAGACCAAGGCCCACATGGAAAAGCCAACACCAGGCAAAACGGATCTTCCTGCATGACTTTGTGGAGACATGCATTGCGGTCTTCTTTCTTCAAAAAGTTCCAGCCGGTCTCGAGCGACATGGATGTAGCAACTTTGTATCCTCTCAATGCTGCCTGTTTTGCAACTTGCTCTGTAGCTGTATATAGATCTCCCCAACAATCGGCTGAGTGGAACCTTTATCTGGACCTTTCTTCACTTTGGCGGGGTCGTCCCGAGGCCGTTGGGTGTGAGCCACCGTCCCAACTGTTTGGCGCCTGGTCGACCCCTCAGCTCCCTTCGAAGACACCTCCACCCGCATGATGAAATTCTCCTGAAAGCATTTATGCATACTTTGGTTCCACTCTGCCGTCATGACCTGCTTAATTTCACGATGACTTTGGGAGATCAATTCACGATCTTTGCAGTGTTTTCGCCAAGCGTCACCAATCATCTGAGCAAGGCCTGGCTTCCCACTCTGATTCACACTCCAGGGGTTCATCCCGAGGTGTTTCCAAAGAATGGTCCCCTGAGAAGGTCCGCCTCCTCTTGCTTGAGATCGGACTGCACTTGCCAATTCAACTGACGAAGCTCTTCCTCCGTGTAAAGGGCTCCTTGGATCTCCTCCTGACTCCAACCATGGGCTGTACCGTCCATCACGGCATCGTCCTAAGCCATGTCGAAGCGCATCGCTCCTTGAGTCTGCAGGTTCACCGGAACTTGATTCCCCTGCATGACTTAAGTCAACATGCTCTGAAACTTCTGATCCTGCTGCGCCAGGAGGTCGTGGATGTCTTGCAACTTCACTCCTGGCATTGGACTTGAGGCTGCAGTCTTGCCTGGCGTGGAAGGAGCGGCCAACGCTAGGGTCTCCGGAGCACGAGTTGAGGCTGTTGTCAAACCCTTTGGAGGCTCCTGGTGTGAACTTGCTGAACTGCTTTTGGCCGAGGGTGGATCCTTGCTTGCAATCAACTTGACGACCGGTCGAATGGTCGCCTTGAGCTGCTCGACTGTTGTCTTCTCGTTGTACTCCACCTGAACGAGAGATGCAAGGCTTTTGGAGATCTGACTTCAAACTTGGCAATCCTCCCCTGGGGCCTATCAGCTCTCGAACTGCATCGGCTTGCTTGCCTTCCTTCTTGGCCTTGTCTGCTGCAGCTGGCGAATCTTGCTGGCGATTCCTTTTGAACTGCGAACTGCCAGCATCCCTTGAAGCATGGAATCTTCCACAAACGAGGCCTGCCAACCGAGGCGGTCTCGAAGCCACATGCACTCCTTCAAATTTGCGGCCGTGAAGCTTTGGAGAGTCTGGGCTCTTTGGAAATGAGCCTTGGGCAACGCTCCATTGGCCACCATGTTTTGTGCCTGCAATTGCCACTGCATCAGGCTGCTAATTGAAGGATACGGAAAGGGCACATAGCGCAGCCACGGCCGCCGACACAACCATAAGCAAATGCCGCGCACGTGCCATAGGACTCTTGTTTGCAGGCGGATGAGAAACCTGCGCCACTTTCCCACCGGTTGATTTTCGAGGTCGATCACGTCGTCCATGAGCAATCCCGAGAGTGAGGTCTCGATCGGGTGTGCTTGAAGAGGATGTTGTCGAATTTGGTGAGGCGTTCAAACTAGCCATTCTTCGAGCCAAATCCAACGAATTGCTACCTGCTTCAACCGACATGCCTACAAGCTTTGCTGCACAAACAGAATGCTCTGACAAAAGATGCTCATGGCTCTTGGGATCGTGGTGAGGGTTTCCAACAAACTGAACTGCCAAAAGCTTTCTTTGCAACCACTCGTGATGCGCAATCTGCAATGCAACAACCCCATCCTGTCCAACCCGACGCCAACGTTAGGAACCAGGCCTGGGCCACTCCGAAGGGATCAATCGCAATGCAAAATGTCCTGCCATCAGCCCTCATGATCTTCTTGGAAAAGCTCAACACGCAACCAACTCCATCCAACCAATCCCGTCCCAGAAGTAGTCCCAAACCCAAACTCTCAACTGGAATGATGGATACCCAAATGAGGACCAAATCTGTCCCAATGACCATCGGCAACCTGATTTATGAGGCTTACGCCTGACAGCCGGGCGCCGGCCTATTTGGGTTTGGGTATGTGCAGGGCTGGGTCCTCTCTCTCTCTCTCTGGCTCTCTCTTTCTTTGAGACTTGGTGGGGCCTATATTGAGCAAAGTTAAGCTATTGGCCCTAGGTTGGGCCAAGTTGCGCCCATGTGGCCTATGTTGGGCTCATCTTGGGCCCAAGTTGAGCCTATGTTGGGCCTAGGTTGGGCCTATGTTAGGCCTATGTCGGCCTAGGTTGGGCCTATGTTGGGCCTATGTTGGCGTATGTTGGCCTATGTTGGCCCTATGTTGAGCCATCTTGGAGGCTATGTTGGGCATATGTTGGGGATATGTTGGCTATCTTGGGCCTATGTTGGGGATATGTTAAGCAACTTATGTGCCCAACACCCACGAAATGTCGATTAAGCCTGTCCGCGCGGTACGCATAACCGACACCACCGGCGCCCTGTTAAGCGAAAATCGTATCCGCCGAAAGCCACGAAACACTGTAAAAAACGACGTTTTTGAACATCTTGCGCAAGATGCATATAAATCTGTCGACCGGATTTGGGCGGGGGTCGACCGGGGGTCGACCGGAGGTATCCCCGCGGTCTAACAAAAGGGTCGGCGGCAGGGGCGGCGAGCGTATATAACCTTCGGCAAGGACACGGGCCCGTGGCCGGCGCCCGGATTCTGTAAGAACTCTGTGTGCCGCCGTCACCGAAACGAAATGTCTCCTGCTCAGGGCATTGTTGAACCAAGCATTTAATCTCCTGGGGCGCGGCATTGAGTGCGGTGAAGTAATGATCCAAGCAAGCTGTTCCACAACAAGTTCTGTTACAAGCTGAATCCAAGGCACCCATCAGTCGTTTGTCCATGGATAGGGAGGCCAATTGGCTCACATGGACTTCGTTCGATTGGCGCAAGGCTTCCGACAACGTGGATGGACGACTCACACGAGACAATGTCAACACTTCATGAGCTTCATCCGCAGGTGCAGTGGGGTCAGCGGAAAGCTCTGTAGTCAAAGCTTCAACCACACGCACTTGCTTCTGAGGCTTGGGATTGCTATTCTTGGGCTTGTAGAGTCCTGCTCCAGGGTTTGGGCAACCATGGTCTCCACTCCAATGGCCTTGCTGGCCGCAATCCCAACAACTCGACTTGGTTTTCTTGCCATTGACTTGATTGCGTGTGAATCGAGGTTTTGCAGGTTGGCTCATAGGCTTTCCATATCCTCGATCCTTCTTGATTTCGGCAATCTTGTGGCGAGCCTCACGCATTGGCGAAATAGTGGCTCTGATTGAACTCTGCTTCTGACAAGCGACTCAGCGGCTTGTTCGACTCCACATTCGAGGGCTTCCAGCACGTCAGGTTCCATGCCCTCTTCTTCAAGAGCCTGAATCTCTGCCGCCAACACTTCGGCTTCCGCCGTCAAAACCTCTTCAAGGCCACTTGCATTGGCCTCTGGCTGATCTGGAATCAACTCCTCTTCATCGTCTTCGCCTTCAAGGACTTCGTCAGCAAGCCCTTCAGCAACCATGGCACTTCGTGGAGGTGGAGGCTTGGGAGATTGTCTAAAACTCTTCTGTGAACTGCCACCAACCGACGTCGACCTGTACGACCGAGTACCGAACGACGATGAACCACCGCTGGAGGGGAGTGAGGTTCTGTAAGATGAGGCTCCCGACTGAGACTGGCTGAGGAAGCGGCTGAGCAATGGTGATCTATCAGTGACGCTCTTCCGATGCAAAGGATTTTCACTATGCAAATCACGGAAGAATCTCAATGGTTCAGCTTCAACTTCCTCATAGGATTCACGACCCCTCAACGTTGTATCAAGCAACTGGACTCGAATTGCATCGAGCCCCAAGCGATTTCGCAAGAACCAACCCAACTCCTTGCTTGGCAATATAATGCCTTCTCGACGCATCTCCGACACAAGCGTTCGAAAGCGGGTGCAAAAGGTGCTGATTCTCTCGCCAGCGTTTCGTTTGAGGTCTTGGTAAAATTGGCGTCGAAGTTCATCTTTTCGATCGAGGATGGTCCTTTCCATGTTCTCTTCAAGAGCCTTCATAAGTTTGCGGATGCCAAACCAAGGGTCTGCTTCTACAAGGACCACCTCTTCGCCAGATGATGGGTCTGTACCCCTCACTTCAGTCTTCCCGGCCAATTCTTCGGGAGTGAACTCTTCACATCGAGCTCGAACGATGCCTGTCTGGCGCAATGTCCAACGAGCTGCAACATTGTATTTGGTGCACGACGATGCGTCCATCGACGTCATCCACCAACTCATCTCCCTTTGAAAGGTCCGGAAGATCGAAGGATTCCCATCCCATGTAGGAACTTTGTACCAAGCAGATGATCCTTTCTCTTCATCAGCCATGGTTCCTCGCAAAATGGAGGATGAAACAACTAAGGTGTCAACTGCAAAAAGGCAACGTACAATGTCCAATGTCACGAGCGATGCAACCAACGGGCAATGTACAATGCAAAAGTGGCTGTTCAATGTACAACGGCAACTGGCAATGTATCAGAGCTTCACCCAGCGAATTCCGGTTTTGTAAAGATCAAGCTGGGGAAGGCGCTTGCCAACACACCAAATCCAATCCAACTCAGCCAACAAGCAACCAGCGGAGTTCCAAGGGCAATGCAACCACCCAAAGGTGGATCAATGCAATATGCAACCGCCAAAAGGATCTTCAAGCTCCGAGTACCACTGTGAAAGCTCAAAAGGCACTCTTTCCGCTCAAAATGCGTAGCGACATCAAATGGCTTAAGGCCTGTAAGGTAAAAAGGCCGCGGGCGAAATACAATCCGGAACAAACCCAAATTCAAGCAATCTTCTTCAAATATTCTTATTCATTGCGATATTATGTCCCTTTCCTTTTAAATTTTAGATTTCTTATTTTTTCTTCCATTCCTTTTAAATCTATAATAAATGAGAAATTTATGTTTATTTCCTTTCATTTCTATTAATTTTTGAAAGCTCGACGTTATGCGGGTGTGGTTTTTACGTGCTTTTGTGGTGTTTTTCTTAGATTTTGTCATGTTTAGTCAGAGTTTCCATGGTTATAGTCTAGATATGTTCTTGTGTTCCTGTTTCCTAAACAAAACCAACTTTTCTTGTAAAAAAAACTCTGGATCTAACTCTACCCTTCCTTGCCCATAAGCATTCTCATTGTTTCAAAGGTAGCACTTTTTGGGCTTCTCCCTCCACATTCTTTATGAAATGGGCTTCTCCCTCCACATTCTTTATGAAATGGAGAGAAGATCATTATCTTGAAACACAATGTGCCCACCAGGCCCA